ACTTCGATTCATTATCTACAAGGTTCTGGCATGTTCTTTCACGAGAAAAAAATTTTTTCATCCCTAGCATGACTTTGAAGATTTTCGGAAAACAGATCTTTTTGAGGTTTTTTAGAAAATCACGTGCCACATGGAGAATATTGAAAAATGAATAATGTTGAGTGTGCATCTTACAGGCCATTGTTCCCCCGAAAGCCCTACAAAATTTCAACCTGATCCATCAAGCCGTTTCATTGTTTCATGCGAGTAAATTTTTGAAGAAATTGAAGAATCGCCTTTTTCTATCCATGATATTCATCAAGATTTTGTGCTAATTGTTGGTTAGAAATTTTTTTATCGCAAGATCCATAAACTAGACACTTCAAGCTTCAAATTGCTTTTTTTTCATTCACGTACGACCATTTTTACCAAAGATACAGCCACTCGAAAAATCGCAAAAAATCGAGATTTTTTGGTCCCTTAATTTTTTCCACTAGTGTACTTTACGAGCTTCTAAAGGCGGGTACAGATCTGAGCACGTACGCGTATAAGGCAAGCCGAGGACGCATGAGCATGCAGATGTGGACGAGCTTCCGAGGCGCGGCAAATTGCACCGTGCGGTTCGCCACGATCCGTTTGTTGGCGGTACATCAAAGGGAGGCAATGCGCAGTACGTGCTCAGTCTGGAAGGGGAATTTGTACCGAATAGATTATAGCGAGTTTTTAAGGTTTATCTTGTATGAAATGGAGTCAGGAAAAGGTTTTGCTTCTTCTGTATGTATATAATCAGCGAGATATTAAATGAACAGCCCGGGCCGCCGAGGGCCAGGCCGGACCCCAGGACAATTCTCTAGATCGGGCCCCGTGAGAAAAAAAAGCTCTTCAAACAAAAACTTGAAAAAAAAAAAGGTCCTCAAAGTAAAATTGTTCCTCCTCTACTTTAATTGATTTTTCAAAAAACCCTCTCTCGCCAAAATTTCCCTCTTGTTTTCAGTCGAATTTCTGATACAAAACACAAAAAAATACTGTTCCCGGGCCCCCTTATACCGCTACCGGGCCCCCATTTGAGTCCGGGCCCCGGGAATTAGTCCCGGCTAACCCCCCTCTTGTCGGCCCTGTGGACTCAACTACCAGACCTCCATCATACGAGCGTTCTGGGTGTACGGTTCCGTGCTCGCGAATTCACTGGATCAGTAGCGAACAGTGACTCGTGCGTCTACCATTCGTATGTACAAAATGCGACGCACGAGTCATTTGGTTCGGCCTCGGCTTGCCTCATGCGCGTACGTGCTCAGATCAGTACCCGCTTTAAGAGTCGCAAAACATATAAAAATAGAACATCGTTGTATAAGATAGATACCTAGATATATCTTAGAGAGTACCTATTGGCATATAAGTATAACACGTTTGTTTTTGAGCAACCACCCTCAATTCGATATTATTTTAAATGCCCACCTGAAATTTTTAACTGGCTAATTTGGTTTAAAAATGCAAATTATGTTTAAAAATTATCAATTAGGCTCAAAATAAAATCCATTTTGAGTTACAAATTTGTCAATTTAGTAAAAAGTTACTTTTTAAAAAATCTGTTTCGGCTCAAAAAATGGAAAATTTGTCACCAAAAATTTCCGTTGTTACTGCGTGCACGTTCTGCTGTATTTTGAACTCGAACTGAGCGTGAACTAAACGCGAACTGAACGAAGTTTATAAATTCAGAAGGGAGGAAGTATGCGACATCTTTAATGAAAAATGTCCTGATCGAGAACCAATAAGCTCGTGGCCAAATCTACGGGAGAGTGGTTACTTTTGAAAGGCGCTTGAGATACCTATATAACATTTATCTAAACTTACCAAAGCACTTTAGGTGATCTAATCAAAATCTGACGTTCAACATGTATTATATTTTGACAGTAGTTCTTTAATTAAGCACACTTTATTTATCCTAACCTAAGAATGTGTGTTCTACCACTTTTTCGTCAAAATTGTCGATGCTATATAGAAGTAATAGTTTTGTCACACTTATTAAAACACTTGTCTAATTCGTTAGCACATATCTTTTTTAAGCTTGCCTTGAAAATCATCTTGTATATGAACCTTTAGAGTTTTTGTGTCTGAGTAAGTTTTAAATCGGGTGTAGGCCTTCCCAAAAATTTAATATGGCATTTTTCAGCCAACCAAAGGATAGAAAAAATAGTTTTTTAAATATTTTGTACAGCTACTTGGCTGCAGGCAAAGGTGTTTATTGTTTATTTATTGTATATTCTACTCAGAGCTGGGCAGTATTCGAGTAAATTGTCTTCAAAATTGTACTCATGTACTCAAAGTACTTAGTAATTGGTACACGTAAGTACCTTTATCCTGATGGGACTCATACTCAAAAAATGTCGAGTACCTTATATTTTAGAGTACTCAGTACTTTTTATTCATCCTGCTGATGAGTAACGGGTACGAATACCGATGTGCGCATGTATTATAATGATTCCACCTTGGAAATAATAATAAAGTGCTTTATTAATAAAAAAAACCATTGAAACAAAATATATGTTAACAAATATTAAAATAAAGCCAAAAATGCCGATAAATGCCTAGACACTTATTTCAGTTAAATCATTCCAATATCCTAAACCTTTTAGGGTTATGGCTCATTTGGCTTAAAACAAAATTTTCAAAAAAATAATACTAATCGATAAATGTTGAAATTGAAAAAAACTAATTCTTCTGCTATGCTTCTTTCTTCTGGCTCCGTTATTCTGCTTTCTGTTCTAACTCCTGACTATTCCATTCACACTTATCTTTAATTTAAATAAAAATTTGTTTATTTTTGTTACTTCATCTCTACGATATAAAACCTTCAACTCTATCTTACTTCAATATAATATTTTGACTTTTTTTAAATTTCTCAACTGACAATTCTAAAACCATCTGTCAATCTTTCCAAAATGTATCTGACAATTCCAATAATTTTCAAAATCCCACTACCATCGGCACCACAACCCTCAGGCAACTCCGAATAACTTATCGGCGTCAACAATACAGGACGGAAAAGATAAGAATATGTCAAATGACCGAATTATGGCAACATATTGTAATGTGAGCCATTTCATTATTCAGTCATGCTCTAATACTCCAAGTCCCTCTCTGTATTATTTGGCCTTTGAGGCTCAACTTGTCCGATTATTATACATAATTAAACCCCTTAAGACCAAACCTATGTGACGACTATGGTGGAGACACTTTCGCGAACATTCCGGAGTCAACGAGATACTATTTCTAGTCTAAATATAACGTGATAACGTTTCTGGTAAATTCTGGTAATTTTGGTAGAGGAACATTCTATACCACCAATTTGTATATAAATATTGGTGGATGAGCCATCAGAGTAAGTTGTTATATGGACAGTGAAGATAAATAGTAATTAGTAGATAGACAGTGGTGAATATAAATAGTGATCAGTTTAAAGACATTCGAAGTATATATAAATTAGAATAGTTGTATTATAAAATAAATAAGTGTTTAAATAAATTATTAATAAATAAACTGTTGTTTTAAAGTAAACAAACATCACATTGGTGTCGAGAAGTGAGATAGTGTAAATAAATAGTGGAAAATAATGGTTAAGACTGTGTGATTTAAAAGAGACCCAGCTACGACGGGAGTTAGAAGATCGCGAGTTGGAGACGGCAGGGAAGAAAGCAGAACTAGCAGAACGGCTTAAAGAAGCACTGGAAAGCGAAGGTTTAGATCCGGAAACGTTTCTATTTTCGGATGATGCTTCTTCTATAATTTCTTCAATTTCTTCCGATTTGGAAAACAAAATCTCTTCTGTGAAAAATGAAATTTCCTCTTTAGAAACCAAAGTTTCGTCTGATATGACCTCTATGAAAACCGATATTTCTTCTAACATTTCCTCCTTAGAAATTAAAGTTTCTTCTGACATTACTTCATTAGAAAATAAAGTTTCGTCGGACATTTCTTCCTTAGATAGTAAAGTTTCTTCCTTAGAAGAAAAGATGTCTTCTGATATGTCTTTCGTGAAAAACTAAATATCTTCTTTAGAAATTAGTTTCTTCTGATGTCTTCTCTAAAAAATGAAATTTCTGCTGATGTGGAAAACAAGATGTCTTCCGTTGAGGAGAAAATAAAAGAAATGGAAAATAAGATAAAAGAACTGGAACATTAAGACCCGGCCAAGGACGTTGAAATAAAGTGCCATGAGGTGGAGTCAAAGTTGAAATTGGAAGCTGTAAACTCTCCTCGTGTTAAAGCCCCAACTTTTGATGGGAAGATGTCATGGACGAACTACCTTAAACAGTTCGAAACAGCTGCCAGAGCAAACGAGTGGTCTGAACGAGAGAAGGCAATAAATTTGACCATCGCCCTTCGAGGAGACGCTTTGGATGTCCTTCAGACTATACCCGTGGAAGAGACAGATGAAATTTTTTTAAAATAAACCAACTAAGAATATTTTTTTAAAACTATACTTAAAATTAAATTACATAATATCCAGCGTTACTCAAAGTGTGGTCCGCGGAGCCCCCAGGCTCCGCATAGCCTTTGTGGGGCTCCCCGAAGCAGTACCTATCGCTACAACAGAACGGGACTTGGCTTGAGAATCTAGTTTTTTTTTTAGAAAGAGTATATGAGGTTTGGTATTTTGGGTTAGTGGCCTTTTTTGTCAGGAAGAGCAAGGAGTATAATATGATGATTTGGTATTTTGGACTGGAGGACTTTTTTTTAGAGGTGAGGAAGGAGTATAGGATTCGGTATTTTCGAGTGGAAGACCTTTTTTTAGGTCAAGAAGAGGAAGGAGTATATGGCTTTGGTATTTTCGGTTGTTTTTTCAGGGGCTCCGCAAAGAAACTGGAGGGGGGAGGGACCTGGCAAGAGGCTAGAGCAAAGAGGGCTTTTTTTCCGAAATGTGTCACCGTCGCCAAAAGTTTGAGAACCACTGATTTAGACATTTCTGCGGACCCTGTATAGTTAATGGGGTTGAAAGGGATATCTGAACAAAAACGATCCGATAACAAATAAACTTTTAATAAAAAAAAATCATAAAATGTACACAAAAATAAAGTCTGCATTTCAACGTCTCACAAAATTAAAAAAAAAACAATAAGTGTCTTGTACTTGTACTTCTTATATACTAACATTTGTTATTTACAGAATTTTCAACAATAACGTAGTTACATACAAAGTTGAGTATGTCAGAACACGTGTTCACCTTTGAGAAATCCCTATCGTTTTGCTGAACAGAACATTTGACACGCCAATGACAGGCGCGAAAAAATGTAGAGGATAGTCACTAAAAATAAAAAAACGATTTATGTATGATGGTAGAAAAAATATTGTATCTATGCAACTAGAGTATAAAGTGTCTTTTGTTCACTCAAAATTTCGTAAATCGATGTCTTTCCAAAATTTTAGTGTAAAGCTCAAAGAACACCAATTTTTTTTTAACATTTAACAATAATAATTTTTTTCATCAACATGCAACATTTGTTCATAAAACATGACCAATTTGACCAAAAAAATGTAAAATTTGCGTTACAAATTGCCAATTACTCTCTCTCCATATATTTGTCCAAAAAAAATTTGGTACCAAATTTAGCACAATAAAGTGCCAATTTGGCTCAAAAAGTGCAACTTGGCTTAAAAAATATAAAGATCTTTCCCAAAAAGAAGTTTTTTTTTGTCCATTAAATTTATTTATTTTCATATAAGAGTCCGGTCAAATTAGACCAAAAAATAGGAGTGAGGGTACAAAAATGCCCAACCAGCTTAAAATTGGTAGGATTGTTCAAAACACTATTATAAATGAAACCTAACAAGTCCTCATCAATCCGGCACCTGGAAAAAATGTACTCGGACTAAAAGGTCACAAAAACGGGTTTTTCGCGATTTTCAGCAAAGTTTTATCACAAAATTAGTTTAGACAAAAATTGTAGAGCAGATAATTATCTTTAAAAAATGTCAAAGATTTTTTTTCCTAAGAGCCACCGTTTATCATTGTTTGATGACATTGGAATGCGCAAAGCACAAAAAACATTTACGATTGTTTCCAAAAGGTAAATATTGATATTAACAACACAAATGCGACATACATCATTGATGGAGGATATTTAATTTATTACACCGCGTTGTGTGGGATAGCGAAGAAACATTCAACGTAATCTTAGATAAATACGTTCAGTATGTACGTCGAAATTTTGGCCCCAAAATTACTGTCGTATTTGATGGCTATAATGACTTTACGAGAAATATTAAAGCCGCAGAACAACGTCGTAGAATTTCAACAACATCTTCATCTTCTGATATTTTATTTGATCAATCAATGACAATTTCTACCAGTCAACAGAAATTTCTTGCTAATACAACAAATCTCGGTCCATTTCAATGTTAAAAGAAAAGCGTGTTGCTGAAAATATATTGGTAAAACAAGCTAATAATGATGCTAATGTAATGATAGTTGAAACAGCAATAGAGCAATTCAATTTAACAAATACAACGATTGTTGTAGGTGAAGATGTTGACTTACTCATATTACTCACTGCTCGGACTCCAATAGAAAAAACTATTTTTTTTAAAGCCTGGAAAATCTCAACATCAATCCGAAATATATTCGTCGAAAAGTTTATCTACTTTTGCAAAGTGTCACAACCATGTACTATTTTTACACGCAATAACTGGCTGTGATACGACATCTGCATTTTTCAGGAGGGGTAAAACAACAGTTTTTAAAATGTTTGAAAAACAAGATTTAGTTCAGTGTGCTGAAGTTTTTAAAAACAGTAATTCTACTTCACAAGAAGTTATTACTTACGGAATTCGCTTTCTGTTCTTAATGCATAGAGCTCCTAAAAAAACTACGTGTTTACATAAGTTTCGATACGCATGCTTCGTTAAAAATACTCGAAATAAAAACAAGTACAATTAGCTTGTCTTCCTCCAACTTCTGCGGCTGCTCATCAACATCTTTTACGGGTATATTACCAAGTTCAAGTGTGGCTTGGTTATCAGCCAGACCCAAAAAACGGGGGTTGGAAGTTTGTCGACAAGCATTAGAACCAGTTCAAACTTTACTACCACCTGCGCCGGAAAAACTGCTCAACACAATTTTTTGCAATTGCAGAAAGGGATGTAGTGCTAAATGTGGTTGTAAAAAAGTTGGACTGTTTTGTTCTCTAGCATGCACTAATTGTCAAGGCCGGTCGTGCTCCAATGTTGAATCATCAACACTTAGGACTCGTTCGATACCAACGAGGAGACATGCGATGTATCACTATTCAGCCAATTTACATGCATCCAGGATGATGATGAAGAAGAAGAACGAGGAAAAGAAGAACAAGTAGAAGAGGAAGCAGAGATATTTGAGAATTATGATTTCGACAAATAAATTTCCCTATTTTTTTATTTTCTACGCTTTTATCATTTTCTTGCCAATACCTTTTATTATTCAATAGTTTCTAATTAAAAAGAGTCACAATAGATCCGTGGAATAGGCCTACCGAGGAAACAACGTTAAATAAACGCGCTAAGTACACTACCTCAAAGGTGGCGTGGAAACGTGTGCATATTACGACGATTTCAACTCTTCTAACTTTTTGAATCGTTATATCTCAGAAACGGTGGCTCTTAGGAAGAAATTTTTTATAGATAATTATCTGCTCAATTTTTGTCTGAACTAATTTTGTGATAAAACTTTCCGTTTTGCCGAAAATCGCGAAAAACCCGTTTTTGTGACCTTTGACCCCGAGTAATTTTTTTTCCAGGTGCAGGATTGATGAGGACTTGTTAGGTTTCATTTATAATGGTATTTTGAACAATCCTACCAATTTTCAGCTGGGTGGAAATTTTTGTACCCTCGTATGTATAAATTGACCGGACTATAAGTCCATATATCATATTAAGGATTTGTTTTCTGATTGTTAAAAATAATTCAGATTTAAATTTTATAGGTAACGCCATAATGTTTGTGTTTTAGAATTAGAACATATACATATTTGATGTCCTCGATTGTACTCGTACATCCGTTGTTTATAAACAAAAACGATAATATAATTTCCAATTTAAAAAAAAAATAAAAACCGTTTTTCAATTAGGAAATTTTAAACAGCAACAACGACGGTTTTACAACTGTTTTCCTTTTCCAAACAAGTCTCATATTCTTGTGCAACGAGATGATTCATTCGTTTCTTCGGAATACAACAAACATTTAATTATCAAAATAAATAGAATAATTAAGGTGTAATTTATTTAAATAACGATTAGAGTTAGTTACCTTGAATTAAGGACAGGAATAGCTTCGTTTCCGCTTATAATGAAAAATGGAAATAATATAGAAAAGACACAACCACTGAAAAAAAAAATAAATTTATAAATAAAACATATACAATACAATGCTTGACATTCTATATTATATTCTTCAATTTAACATCCCATTTTTAATCCGATTTTTTTCAGAATCAATAGATTGCATCACCTTATAAAGCTTGATTTTACTAAACATTTCATTTTCGTTTTTCATTTGTTTTTTTTTTTTTTTAATTTCAACCCCCTTAATTCCCCCATTTTTATTCATAGACTTCGTCCCCTTATAGAGCTTGATTTTTCCTGAAAATTTCAAGTTAATATCGTTTTTGTTTTATGATTTTGTAAAATTTCAAGCTTCCTTAACCCCCATTTTTGTATTTTTTTTAAAAAATGAATAGTTTGATTTTTCCTGAAAATTTCAAGTTTTATCAATCAATAGGCTTCGTCCACTTATAGAGCCTGATTTTCTGAAAATTGCAAGATGATATCATTTTTCGTTTTCGACTTATCGTGCGGACAAAAAGCGTGACATTAAACGGACAGATGAGCGGACATTTTTAAATTTGGATCAAGATTAAAAATTTTCTGTTCAGACTACTGTGTGAAGAATATAATAAGATTGAGTAAAATCCAAAATCAGTACAATGTTTAAAAATAGAAGGTGCTTGCAAAAAAAATCTTCCCAGAATATGACGAAGTTACTATAAATTTGATTACCGTGTCTTGTAAAAAATACTTTAGAGACTTTATCGGCACGTGGTAACAATGAATACTCACTTATCCAAATTAATGTGTTCACAGGAATCATAGGAAATAACAAAATAGTAGTTTGTGCAACAAGAGTGGATATGGACAATCCACTCGAGCAGTATATTTTTTTCTACGACCCACTAACGAAAATCTATAAATTTAAAAAATTAGTTTAGGTTATTACGACAAAACTAATTTTAAAATAATTTATGAATTTTACTAAGCTGTAAAATAAAATAAATATGAAAAAAATATTTAATTTAATTAGTCCCCAGCCCAAATTCGAACCCGGGCTTTTCTCGTGGAAGGTAGATACTCTGTCCTCACCTCCAACGCCACTTTTAGGATTTTAGTTTTAATACTTGTAATTAAATTAGTTTCATATGGTTTGATTAAAATTATTTTTTTGTGGAGCAAATTAAAATAAAAATGCTAGTATTTATCGATTCTACACAAAAATAACTCATTTTAATGTATATTTAAACTCGATAACTAAAAATTATACTGACAATTAGTTTGACAAAATTGTCACTATTTAAAATTTTAAAAATAATAGTAGTTGATGAACTGTGATTGGTGGATTTCATTTTTTTGCAGTGTGCTCACTACAGAGAATGGATATGAAATATACTCGTTTAGTTGAACGCAATAGCATACTTATTCGTTTTGTAGATAAGCTAATATATATGTGGGAGTATTTGTTTAATAGAGTGATTAAATAAAAAAACTCAGACACAATAGCGCAAGACAAAATAGCGCAGGACAAAATAGCGCCAGGACAAAATATTGCAGGACAAAATAGCACAATGACAAAATAGTACAATGACAAAATAACGCAAACGAACAAGATGTTTTTTTTTAATAAACGTAATTCATTGAAATAATCCGTAACAAATACTGTTCCGACGACGCCTATGCAGTGAATGTTTGGAGTGTAGCTCCGTCTCTCTCACATTTTAGCGCGACACAATTCCGCGCGGGACAAATTTACTGCGATAAATTTACATGGAAACAAATACATTAGAAGCAAATTAGAGCCAGATATAAATAGAGATAAATTAACGCCTGGTCAAATTATAGTGAGTCAAGTTAGTGCTTTAGTAGTGATGCCCCGAGATAAGACGCTCGTATCGTAGAACGAGAGAAAACTGTTCTCTTGTCTCGACAAGAAAGGCACTTCTCTCGCTTGAGAGAGAGCCTTTCTCTAGTCTCGTTTCTCTTGTGATAAAAACATAGATCAAATTTAAATTTGGAAAAAGATATACTCAAGACGAAACATGAAAAAACTGTAAAATTTTGATTTTAAAGTAATTTGTCTCATTAGCCCAAATCAGCAATCAGGGTTGCCAGGTCGAAAAAAAATTATTCATGAGAAAATGCAACAAAAATCATGAGATTTTCAGTAAAAATCATGAGAGGCCTAATTTTATTGGGAATTAAAAAAAATGCGCCTATTTTATTAATATGCATTTTTATTGAACAAAAAATCACTTTTCTCTTGAAAATAAAACATAAAATATAATAGAATAAAATAAAATAAACAAAGCTTCAAAACATAAAACAATTGGTACCTACTTCCTAGGTAACTAATAACGATAAGTTAGGAACATTGTTTTCAGTATTCTCTGGTAGGAACTACCCTCTGAGGGAACTACTAAAACTATATTATTCGGAGTCAGACGCATACATTTTTTGGTTCATTTTTTTAATATTTCTTTTTTTTTTATTTCAAATTAGCACATATTGCACCATCTTCACTTACTAAATCTTTGGTATGCAAAAGTCCAATTAAAGTTGACGTATTTAACCTGTTTCTCGCGATTAGCCATGGCAACAGACTCGGAAACTACGGGAGTAATGAGTAATTGTGTATTGCACCAAAAATCGTTAGATTTTTGTTGAAAATCATGGAATCATGAAAAATGTGTCCAAATCATGAGACCTGGCAAACTGTCAGCAATAACAAACACTTCTGGAATCACCTGTCCGTCAGTCAGTTACTCATAGACTATTTTACATACACAATTGAAATTTAAATCAGTGGCCCAAATTAGGCATTAACTAAAAACGTAATACTTTGTTGTGGGGAAGTCAGTTGGGTGGTAATTGGAAGTTACAATTTTTCTGATGACATCGGGTGATGTCAAATGAGAACATTTTGAAGCATGTTTTTAAAAAATATTTAATTTTAAAAAATATTTAATACATTCGTTTGTTTTACTGTTTTTGATGATTTTTTGAGAAAACGTTCAAAAATTACTATATTTCCAACTTATCTCCAAAAATAACCCAAATAATCCATTATTCAGTAAAAGTGTTTGTCCTTTAAATGTATTTGTGAGTGTGAGGTTAGTGGGAAGAGGACGTGCCAAAAGCAAACATTAACTTCTTAATTTGCCGACGTTTCGACGTTTATTTTTCGTCTATTTCAAGGCTGAAAATACGTAATAGGTTTTAATAAAAAATTGTAAAAACTATGAGATTTACATAGGTGTCAATATTATAAATGGTATATAGGTATATATACAACGTAAATGGTTATTGTTATTTCAATAAAACAATCATTGTTAGCATGAGAGAATTAACAAATCAATATGAACATAAAAACAAGGAGAAATAAAAACTAAATACAAATGAATTTCTTCATCTACCTACAATTTTAACTGCCACAATATTTTGATTAATTTTATTATCATTTTAAGATATCTGTGTGTAAATGTTACTTTTAGTATTAGATTTTATGTACTGTTCTGATTTAATTGTTTCGGCAAATTCCACATATGCCTTGCATTAATTAATTTAATAAGGTAAGGTTTTTAGTTTTTATTTCTCCTTGTTTTTATGTTTATATTGATTTGTTAATTCTCTATTGCTAACAATGATTGTATCATTGAAATAACAATAACCATTTACGTTGTATATATACCTATATACCATTTATAATATTGACACCTACGTAAATCAAATAGTTTTTACAATTTTTTATTAAAACCTATTATGTATTTTCAGCCTTGAAAAAGACGAAAAATAAACGTCGAAACGTCGGCAAATTAAGAAGTTAATGTTCCCTTTTGGCACGTCCTCTTCCCACTAACCTCACACTCCAAAAATAACTTTAGAAAAATTTGACTGAACGAAAATTACTATGATTACTGTCCGTTGGATAGTTTTTTTTTTTTTTTTTTTTTCATACAAAGAAAGAGATCTCTGCTGTACTGATACTTTGTATAACGCCTGTCAGCTAAATCTATCAACATATCGACTCTAATTAATTTAAAACATCCTCGGCATGAAACACTATTGCGCTATTTCAACTGATCAAACTTTTTTATTTAGCTAATAATAATGATTTGTTTGTCTGCTGTCCGGAATAATTCACGATATAAAAAATTGCTGTAGGTTACTCAAGAAGTTGTACAACATAAAATCTGACACAAAAAGTGTATCCCAAAAAGTTTTATACAAATGGAAAAGTTACCTTACATTTGACAAAAAAAATCTTGGTAAAAAGTGCTGCATCACTTCAAAATCCATAATCAAGCATCAAATTTGATAAAAATTCAAAAATTTCTAATGAACACTTGATGAACAATGATTGGAATATTTACTGATTAGAGTAAATTGAAATCACGATGAATATAACTTTTTTTCGTTTGAAATTTCAAACAAGCAAAAAGTATATTGCTCGAGAGAAATGAGAAAAATTTTCGTCGAGAGATGACAGTTTCTCATCTCGTATTTGTTTTCGAGAGACAATGTCTATCTCGTTTCGTCGAGACGAGACCAAAGGCGAGAATCTCTCGTCTTGTGGCATGACTAGCGCTTAGTCAAAAAAGAGCGTAAGAAATTATTCCAATATTCTAATTAAAATAAAAACAAATCAAAACATTTATCTAACCTGTGCGGCCTGGAGCCATCATGGGTAGCTAGATGTATATGGCTCCTGCACAGGTTAGGTAAATTCGTTACGATTTTATTTTTTAAACAACCTGTGATGGCTTTTTTATTTTAATTTGTCACGCGCCTTTTTTTGTTCTGCGTTATTTTGTCCATGCGTTATTTTGGCCTGCACTATTTTGTCATGGAGCCATATTTAATATCTTATTTTTTGCTTTTTCCTATGATTCCTGTGAACACATTAATGTGGATAAGTGATTATGCACTGTTACCACTATCACATATATTCTATACCTATGTATATTCTCAAGTCCGTACATTATGAAATAGTTGTTAATTAAGTGTGATAATTACGTGAAATTATTTAGAAAAAATATCAAATTTAATTCTCTTTTTAAGATCACAACGGTTTTAATTTTTCCGATTCTAGAACTATCTTGACAATGAAAAAATTCTGAATTTTTAAAAAAAATTGAATACCCATTATCATAGGTACAATTTAAGTGATTCCAAGATTGTCCCAAATAATATTTGAAACTTTCTTAAATATTTCCAAAGTGCCACAAATATCCTCAAAATACTATAAAAATGCATCGAATATATATTTAATAAAAATGGATTTAATAGTAGGTACAGTTGACAAAACCGAAATGTGAACGCTAAAATGTAATAGTGTGACCCAGGCTTTGCATCATAGTCGTTTCGCATTCAAATTTGAAACTCTTAAAAATTACTATCAAATAAATTTTCAAAAATAACGCAGCATTTAACTGAGCCTCAAAAGTTGAGGGCTATAGAAAAATTATGGTCTTTAAGTGAAGTGGCTGCTGCTTCATTTTAATTTCAAACCTTCCCTACACCTTGTTTGAAAGGTCTTCGCAATTTTTTTTTGTTCTTTCCAGCGTTCCTTAACATAAAATATGCATTTTTACTGACATTTAATTCAGCACCCACTTCATTTAAAGGCCAATGTTGATATAGCCTTTGATTATCTCTAGTAATAAATGATTTTTGTAGTTTTCTATGCCTAGATGTTAATTTTATTTTGTATTAAACTGTTTTCGTACATTTAGATAAGACCGATTCGACAAAACGGCACAAAGTAATATATTTTTAATCTCAATATGCTTCCCTCTCCTTATAACGCCACTAGCCAAAGCCAGACTTACAGTAATGAATTTCAGTAAAAAATCCCATGACAACCAAAATAACGTTCACATTTGGACTGTACAAACCATTACATTTTCTAGAACATTATTTAAGAAAAACTTTTTGCGAAGTTATTATCTATTTTTAGAGAGATTCTAAAATAATCATAGTAATAAACAAAATTTCTGAACGTACTAAAAAAAAATATGCACTAAAATTAACATACCATTTTTTTTTTACTACGACGAAACATATCAAAGAGAGAGAGACCCATAAATTGTACCCCCAGGGGTAGTATTCTCGAGTCACGAATATAGATTCGCATGCGAGATTTATGATTTGTCTCACTTGGTTTTCGTTCAACAAAGTGAGACACATTGTAAAACACGTATGCGAATGTCGGTATTCGTGATTCGAGAATACTACCCCAGGACCCTATTTTCTCTTTACGAGCCTGACATTTCTTTACGTGCGCAAATTTTGTCGATACGTACCTATGCTAAAAACGGAAACTAACCTTATAATCCAAGAGTCAGAGAGCTGAGTAAAAATCGCCATAGGCAATCCGAACCCGATAAAATAAGGCCAATGAGTTTCGATGAAGGACAGTCTTTTGTGTAATTCCCAGCCCATGTTGAACCATTTGTACTCGAAAGCGTAGAGGGAATATAACATGCACATTTGCACCAAGGATAAAGTATATCCTACCATGTATATGGGAATATAGCTCACGGCCATGGCTTGTATTAAAAACAGTAATTGTATCAATATACTAAATATAGAATCTGCCAATACTTTGCTGAGGCTTTGAGAGAATACAGGTCGACCGCGGGTGTGCCTATACGCGGAATCCGCTATATCCTAAAAAAGAAAGAAAAAATGTCCAACACTTTTCATGAAGAATACCATCCACCTCTCTACTTGGATAGAAGTTGGATTAATTTCAAATAGTTGGTGATAATTGTAGACAGTAACGTAACAGCTGGGTAGTATCCCGAAAAAAGTTAAACTGAACTAATTGACGTATTAAGACTCTCGAAGAAGTACACTCTATTATTAAGCCACTGACATTCCATAGTTGAAATAAGTAGTAATGATACATAAATAAAGTATGTTTGCTAGAAATAAAAACTTCGACACAAAATTAATGTCTTTTAAACAATGGAAATGCATGTATTTGGAAATGTGAACATGAAAATCCCAATTTCCCCAACGAAATTAAACAATCCATCCCCACAAACCCTAAATGAAACAAAACAAGTAAAAACTGAAAAAGCTGAGAAGAAAAGGAAAAATGCGTGTCTCGACCAGGGATCGAACCTGGATCTCCGAGTTTACCATAGGAGTTTACTCTTTAATGCATTTTCCAATTAGGCCACCGCAGAATATAGCTACGAGAGACGAATTTGCCAATTTAAAGACATCAGACCTAGGCACCGCCACACGAGGGCCAGGGGGGCAGCAGAGTTGTGATTTTGCATTTTTTCGGGATGACTATCGACTATAGTCAACGGTGTTTTGACCCTGCCTACAATACTTCCCCCTCCTGGAAATTTTTTAAACGGCACCCATGCATCAGAAAGTCATAGCTATGTGCTGGGGTGGCCCAATTGGTAAAGGCATTGAGGAGTAAACTTGGAGATCCAGGTATGATCCTGGACAGGGCACACATTTTTTTCTTCTCATATTTTTCGATTTTTTAGTGGTTTGTTTTCACTTTCGGGTTGAGGAATTGGTGTTTCATTTTCACATTTCCAAATGCATAATTTAGTTTTCTGTCCTTTCTTTCTAATAGAAATTCGGTTTAAACGAATTTTAGATATAGGCTATAATTATTAACTTCAATAAGTTATCGTCCCATTAAAACTAAATAACGCGTTAATCTTATAGATACGGAGAAGTGGACCAACTATAGGAGAATTTAATATTAAGATCGATAAAGACGTATTAATGAGCTGGTCAAATATTCCTTATCAATAGGTCATCGAAAATGTTCATGGGTGGAGATCGGAGGAAAAGCTTTGCAATATTATTTATATTTTAAATCTGTTGACATATGTTCTACACATACACTCTCTTCCGAATCACTGCCACCACTCGTTTCATCCAAATTTATGATTATTGGATTAATATTAATATCCATAGTGATATCCATTTGCCACATTTTAAGTTCTTCTTTTTTAGTGACATGTGCCACGCTTTTTTCCCATGTTGTGACGTTATGTCGCCAATAGCTTTTTGAAGGAACTGTTTGACGTTTGCCAATTTAAAAGTGGTATTTTTTCTAGCAAGTTTCCTTTATGCCAGCCCAAATAAACTTACAATGATACCGGGCAGTATAAGTAGGTACTTACACATTGCGAACTCGTGCCAAATCATCAACACAATACTTTTATTGTGTTGGGACGTTTGTAACATTTTAAAATTCTTTTAAAATGTTATTTTGAATGTGTGACATCCTGTATAATATTGGTATTGAAATAATTTAAAATTTAATTATCGCCGCACGCAATATTCCTGAGAAAGGTAAATTTCGCGAAGTGGGAGATTTATTTGAGCAGTCGATCTACCATCAACCAGTGTCTTTCGATGCGACTAGCGGTCAGTTCTTAATGTCATTAATAAAGATCTAAGTAGAAATTGTGTTTTTTACTTTTTGTTAGTAATAAGTTTAATTCTTGAAAGTTAATTTAGATTTGTTCAATATGGATTAGTAATTCCTTTTATGTTGCTGGAATTACACATTGTTGTATTAATTAATTTTTTATTCTTGGAAATTTTCAAAAATAGTTATTTAAAAGTTTGATTTATATCTCAAAAAGCCATGTGAAAAACAGAATTTATTTATTTTTGTTTAGGAAGCGAATACAAGCAGTACAATGTTTTAATCTGTAAAAGTAGACAACCTGGAAGCAGGATTTGGCGTTTGGACTTGTTTAGCAAGGAATACCAGGAGGACTGCTGCCGCAAGCAAAAGATTGATAAAGCTAGAGTTTATAATTCTTAACTAGCTTTTTACAAAAAAAAAAAAAATAAATAAATAAAAAAGATAATTATTGGCGCCCTTTCTTTCCCGAAAATTATTTCCCCAAAAGTGTCTATTAGGTCTGAATTCACGACTGAGAAAACCATATAATCTATTTGCTCATTTCATTTTCTGATTTGATTAAAGGTAATGTTTGGGATAAAATATCTAAGTGCTAGTCAAAATATCATATAAGTGTTTACAAAAGATAATTAAACGTTAATTATAACTATTATTACAAATTAACGCGAACATATTACACGTTTTTCCAGTAGTACTAATTCAGGTTTGATGAAGGAACCGGATATCATTTTCCAGAAGCAAAGCCTTAACTTTATCTTTACCAAGCATTTGGCGGCAACTGTTTCAGTCTTTGACTATTATCCACATTCAGCTTAAGTTTTTCTTGGATACTACCCATTAACAGGAGAAACCAACAAAAAAATTATAAATAACATGTCAATATAACATATTTTTAAAATGGTTAAGAAAATATGTAGACATTGGATTCATATTATCACTAGGTATTTTTAATAATCTTCATCATTTTTAAGAAATACTAATATAAAGGGCTGTTATAAATAAAAATATATTTATATAACATTTACGAATAACATTATTTTTAAATGACTTTTAAACATTTCAACTTCTTGAAATTATATCTATGGTTTACATTTAACCAGAATAAAAACAAAAATGTATAAATGATAAAATTACAGATAAAATTTGCCAAGGAAATATTTAACTTACGATGCATTTCTCGAAAGCCAACAAAATAAATATTAACAAAACAAACTCTATAATTAATAATGATTAGACAAGTCAGTTTCGATTTAATATTAATTAAACAATGCTATACAGGTATGTTTCAAAAATGATTTTTTTTTAAATTAGGTTAATATCTATTATAGTTCCAGATTCTTCATCATATTTGCCACCTCTTGTTTATATGCTGTTACTTCTAAGTGTACTAATACACTACATGGTCTCTATTGCGCAAATATTGGAACAACTGACACCCAACCAATAAATATTGATTTCAAATTAGAAAAAGATGTATCTATAACTTCAATTTTTTTAATAAATACCACCGGCATTATTGCGAACAATACGTTCGCGTCATTTCCAAATTTAGAACATTTAATTGTTCTTTATATCTAAGATATAGGTCATTCACTGAATTTACACCCATATCGGATTAAAAAATAAATGAAAGATTTGGCTGGTCAGTTGTATTTTAAACATTTACTCATGGGTGGCGTTATTTTGTATATTGCAAGGGGTTCTTATAGAAACAAACTAAATATAAATTTTAGGTATTTAATTTTTCCCCAGAAAGCGTGTATTTTTTCTTTTTTGTTTGCTCTCTCCGCTTTTGACGTTTTTCAAAACATATTTTAATTTTGAATCACTAATACCGAGAGCTGTACAGACGCGTTCATGCACACTCACTACTGGCTTTAAAGGTCCTCCGTTATCTTTTTCCGCCGTAAAATACTTATGTAGATTACAAATTAAGTCATCTACACGTAACACGCGCTTCGGCATTTTCTGTTTCGACATACGTTATCTTCGAAATCCAAAACTGATCTAAATAATTTAGCGCAATTAGTCCTATAACATCAGTACAAAAATAGAACATTTAATCTTAATTTTATACCTGAGCAGTGACTTCCGGAAATTCCTGACCATAAAGCGTTTATTGTATTCGGGGAAAATGGTATTACCATAAACAATGTCCAAAACAAAATTATAAATATTTTCATTTTATCATGTATTACTTTAGTAATTTAATTTTAATAAACATAATTACATACTATATAAGTTAAGTATTTAATAATTAAAATATATTCACCCTCTACCCACCGGAGGACTACGCTTATTTTAATCAACTACCTGATGCGAAATTATCCTGTAGACCGGCTCAGTCGTGCATCTGTTTCTTAATTCGATATGGGTGTAAATTCAGTGAATGACCTATATAAAGTGTTTTATAGATTATGCTCCTTTCTTTCTAGTGCCATAATTAACTATATTGTTTTTAATATTTAGTAATAAAGTTATTCTTCAACAATCCAAACGACTATACCCTACTAGTTAAAAGGAAAATTTTGGTCTGGATTAACCCAGGAATTAACATACATATAAATAATAGTTATGTCATTAAAACAACACCTCACATAAAAATATTCAAAATCTGTTTAGACTTTTAGACATACAATTTTACAATCCAAATTTGAAAGATGCTTTAAAGTTTTTGTGCATTTAATACACATATTACAAATTATTAATATTAAATTATGAAAATTATTTAATTTAAAGTACACTCCATTAAACTCACTTTATTGAACATACCTATTGGTCTAATAATTAATAATTTGATACACAAAAGATCCTAAATTTATTTAATATTAGAGTTACAAAATTAAACAAGTATTTTTAATTTCAGGAGCATTTAAGCAAGCCAAAAATTTAAAGCATCTAACCATCAATGACCAAAATATAACACATTTGAAATGGGGACATCTAGAAGGACTAACTGAATTGAGATTCTTGGATTTAAAGCACAACCATATACAAAAAATAGATGAAGATGCTTTTAAAGACTTAAAACATCTAAACTATCTTATACTAAGTGATAATAATTTGACTTCTTTTGAAGAAAATACATTTCAAAACATCCCAAACTTGCAATCACTTGGTTTATTGAAATTGAACATAACATCAATAAACAAAAGTACATTTAAATATCAAAAACAACTAAGGTATCTTGGAGTACCTACAAATCTGATAAAAAACAAATTAACTCTAAAGAATTTAACAAGCATTTTTAGTAACTTAGAAACCATCGGATTGCAAATTGAAGATGAAAATGATACTGATGTAAATAATTTTATTAAAAATTGTAAGTATAGTGGATTTGATGTAAAATTAATTTGAATAAATTAGATATGTCAACATAAAAAAAAACTTTAATAATCTTACCTGAAACCATAAAGCATTTACAACCTTACTTAATAAAAAGAGTGGTATGACCCAAACTGTCTTGAATATCAGGGATAAAATGGGCTCTATCCAAGACCAAACTAATTTGCCCATAAAGGACTCACTTCCGAATATGTAACCTAACAATTTGTTTATACTAGGAAGTAGTCCATATTCAAATAAAAGTATGCTAATTAAAAATATTCCACCATTTAATACACCACACTGTATTATTCTTTTCATTACTTTTGATTCCCTATAAAAAATTAATAATTTAAATTAAGTAAAATGCCTTTTATTAATACAATTAATTACTGATGTGCATCAAATTAACTTTTGCTTACTCATGTTTTTTAAGTTGTCTAACAGGAGTAGTTTCTTTTGAATCAAAGGCCTTCTGTCTTATAGAATTCATTCTTGTAGGAGAGTACCTTATTTTACGTTCATTAATTTCCTTATCCAGATATAGGATAGCATACATGCCTCTAAAACTATCATATACACCCCTGAAGACTGCATGCCCTACTCTCTAAAAACATTTTTGCCAATTTAATTTTAGGAATTTGCATTACACATTTTAATTGGAACTTACACGTAATTCCATATTCACAACAAAATTGAATTTGGATGATTAAGTTTACAAAAGGTATATAGAATTAAGATTCATTGTTATTCTAAGAACACGAACTACAAATTTAGTATTTATTAACTGAAAACAGCTGATTTTGTAACATCTGACAAATGACATGAAAATTAATCGATTGTCCCTCTTCTCTATTAGTTATAAATGGAATATCAAACTATTCAGTTACTCAGTACATAAAGTGGCAGTGTACTAAAAATATAATAGAGAGAATTAAAGAAAAAAAGAAGAAAGACAACTGACATTGACACGTCTTCTAAAGCCACATTCACATAATATTGGTACGTTCGAATCGAATGTTTAGTCTGAATTTCTGAACGTGGCTATTAGAATAAATTTGACAACATGGTAAAGGATATTTTTTGATAATTTTGTGTTTAGTATACACAAAAAGTTTATAAATAACTGAGTTTAAAAAACGTCACACCAATTTCAAAAAAAATTAGATTGCATGTGCTGTATAACTGATATCAACTATTGTCTTTTATTGACATTTTTAGTTTGATTCATTTCACCTATAAATGGCAACTGTGCATTGCCTTGACGTTTTTAGTGAATGCGAAGAACCGTGTAGGTGAACGTGAACGTATATATTTTATTGTGTATTTTCCAACAATTTCCCAATAAAACCTAAATATAATACTGTCCTGGACAAATAAACTGAAAATATGGGTGTATGAATAGGTTATAGACTGGTAAGTTGTTTCGGCAGTGTCATATTCGGCTATCCAAATTATCCATTATTTGCGTAGAAAAAGTGGGCACAAATTCATTGTCAGTAGGAATGTCACTATTTATTAAATTGCCTTTACACATCTTCCGTATACAATATTTAAAATAGAATCAACGAAGTTTGGAGGATTTTTGCTTAATTCCGTTGTTATTAGCTTATTATTGATTAAATTGATGGCAGAAGACACACAACTGGAAGAAATATCACATGCTTATACAAATATTTTTTTATGAAATTCTAGATCATTAGTGCTCCATTCCATCTTGGACTGCTATCCTGAGCTGTGGAAAGTCACGTTCAGAGGTAAGTGAAGCCCTATTTAAACAATCATGTATTTTTCATATTGCCCTTAGTATGAGACTGGCTTGTCTCATACTCTCATACATACCACCTGCAGAGAGCATGTTTACACAGTTCAAAGAGAGGTCATTTATATTTGATATTTACAATAACAAAAAAAAATAAACCAACTCTAAGTTTATAAACAAAGGTCATGCATTAGTTTGAATTGTATGACCAATTAGACCAAGCAGTAAACTTACTCTGTTTGTTTTTATCATTGATGCTACTCAACACAACAATTCTAATTTATTCTCATTTACCTATTTGATAATATATAAAAAATACAATGTTAACACCTAGGTATCTAAGATATTTTTGTAAATTTGAATTACCTATATAAGTAGGTTAATATTGTATAATCGTTTTCCTTCTTAACTAAAATAACAAGTTTTACTAATGTGCCTAGAACAGGAAAAATTATATTTTTCACAAATTCACAGAATCAGTGTTTATCAAGGTTGTTAGCTTTTTTAAAAAATTAACTACGTAGGTACTTCCATTTAAGTAAACCTGAACTCTGAAGTGATATTGAGTTAAAGAGCAGATTTATTTCCTTATGTTCTTATGCATTTTGTTGCATTTTATAACACATCATTGCTAAATATTTATAATTTTAAATTCTTATTGATATTTTATAAAATGTAGTGTAAAATTGGTTTATTTTCATCTTATTTGTCTTTTTAAGTTTTTCCACAATACAATATTAAAAAGTAAAAATTGTAGTATTCCATTTTAATTATATTTTAAGCTTAAATTGATGTATTCATATTTACTTTTTTAAATTCTGGATTGGTTAAACATGTTAATTAACTTTGGTAAATGTCTAGTTTGAGCTCTTTTTGATTACAGAAAAACTAAGTATAGGTACTTGTAGGGTACTGCTATTGTAAACAAAAAACCTAAGTTCCATATCTTGTGCAAATGAATATTAAGGACACAAATAATTTTTTAATTAAAAATATGTAATTTTTTCCATTAATTTTATCAATTTTACGTGAAAGGGAGTGAATAGGGCTGCTGGGTGGGAAATACAACATCAATAGTTAAGTATAATGTCATAAAATATTGTTTGGACAAGGAAAATTATTTGAAATGAATTTCTGTACTTTTGATACTAAATAATTGAATACTTAGTAAACTTTTTTTTTGTGCGACTTGGCAACAGTGTAAAATGTAAAAGACAATTTGTAAAATTTTTATTTAAAAAAACGAATTGTGTCATTATTAATTTGCAGAAAATATGAAATTAGATTTTTTTGTTTGCAATACTGATACCTATAAATATATATGCTTAGTTTTTTAATAAGCAAAAAGAGCTTAAACTAGACAATGACCTTAACGATTTTGAATATATATTGTGGAGTGATTAACCAACAGGTCAATTTTGAACATTTATGAATTATTCTTTGTTATCCATTTAATTTTGTAATTACCCAAATATCCAAGTCGAACAGTAATATATGAGATTTTAAATCTAGAATAAAAGAATTATTAATCTTTTGTCTTTTGAATACTTTTTATGATTATATCCAATTTACAATATAATAGGTAATTGCATTCTATTACACAACATTGTAAATGTTGTTGTTACATGTAATAATTTTCATGTGCGTGCCCCTGTATGTATAACTTAAGTTGTACATCATCTACTTATGTTTTTTAAATATTATTTTAATGTAAATGCCATTAAATGATATATTTTCAATGCTCTGTGGTTGTTACAACCTGATAATTGCAATTTCACTATTTTATTACAATTTATATAAAAATTATGTTGTCTGTTTGCTTGATGCTTAAAGAAAGTTATTTTAGATAGTGTCATTTAATAACAGACCTTTTTGTAAAAGTCAAAAGTTTGGCTTGTCTTCCAATGTCTTTCTTTCTTTTTTTTTTTTTAGTAATATTATGTTTTCATCATGATGATTTTAATTTGAATCATGATTTAATTGCTATGATTCATCTGGTACATGTTAATAACAAAATATTTTTTAAATTCATCTATTTTTTTAAAACTGATAGGTGTATCAAAAACAACATTCCAAAGGTCAGAAAATATTTTTATAATTGTGTATGCTATATAGGTATATTTATATATTGAATTATTCCCATAATCTGGATTCTAAATAAATGGTATATTATGACTATTAGTATGAGAAACTACTTTGAGGAAATTTATAAACAGACCTAGGGAAGTGGAAACCACTTTGGTTATTGACTTGAGTGATGATATTTCAGCAATTTTTAAGTTCTACAAATTCATGATATACAGGATATTTTATTATTTTAAGACTTCAATAAAATTAAATCCTTATATCTCAGAAACTCGATTACTAGGTATAAGGTGTTTGTGACGTGAGATTAAGAAGAAGAAAAAAATCATTTTGGATTGTTTTTTTTTTTTTAATCATAGATACATTACAAAAGCTTTTCGATTGTTAGGTTTATTTTAAATGCATTTCTGAGAATGGCACACATAGATTAGGTAAAGTGAATAGATGGGAAACTCAATGGTAATATTCTGAGTCGATGTGCTGCCATCTATCAAATTGGAGTGGTACTAAAATTAAATATGGCCGCTTAGTGCGGGCTTTTTGAATTTAACTTTCTGCTAGTCGCGCAAAAATATAATGAAGAAAATCAAACAAAAAAATAATGAATTTAAAACTTTTAAGCTTAAATTAAACTTACACACGTTTGGACCCTTGAAGATTTTGGGGTGTTATCTTGTTTGATGTCAATGGCTTTGAATCAATTTTTGATATTGATGGCTGAGGCTCATATGTTTCATCGAACGACAGGGTATTTTGGAGGGCCAACATTTTCTTTACAACAATGATCATTTAAAAACTGAAAACAAAAAGAAATTAAAATAACAAACCAATTATTTTAACACTGAATCAAAAACAAGTTTGTAAATAGTACTTACCGTTGGTGCCAGTGCAAGATGCATTTTTCTTAAGGCACTTATTACAAATTGTTTGGTTATTCTTAATATGAGGACTGCATATTTAATATGTGGTATAAATTGCATCACTACCAATATTTGGGAGTGCTTTATTGTTCGTTGCTGAAATCCATCTTCCCATATTTTGAAAACATGCTTAAAATTGGAAGGTGTTAAAAATAAATCTGGATGAATCAAAATCCAATACACCTTCAAATGCAACCACCATTTTAATTTTTCTAAGTTTGAAGTTTTGACGGGCTGACAACTGACATGACATTTCGATACGAGCGCCATCCCGTTAATTGGAGTGGTACTAAATTACCGTCCTCATGTTTTTCCATTGAGTTACCAGCCCCTGATGGCACAGTATCCCCTTCTAAAAAAATATTCCTGGATTACCATACATAACCCATTTGCAGCTGTTTTTAAAATGAGAAATGTGTCAGGTGCTTCATAGAGGCATTTCTCATGGTGATACTGATTGGTTTCATGAGGGGGGTTCCATTTGAGGATTGAAGCGCTCTCGAAATAGTGGTATGTTTTAACTAGAAATCGCATCAAATTCTCTCGAAATATTCGAAATCGTCACGGAAATTCCAAAATCATTATCGAAAATCTTAACCGAAGTCACTTTAAATGAATTTTTTGCTCAGAAATATAAATGCAGCAGTTATATATGATTGATGATTTCGGCGAAATCACAGAAATATATAAATTAAGGGGGTCACAGAAATCATATGCCATGGGTGATTTTACTGAAATCATAATATGCCATGGGTAATTTTGCCAAAATCATACGAAATTACCCATGATTTCTAGATGATTTCGCCAAAATCCCCCTTAATTTTCGCTCTAATGTGCACAGTTATCCAACACACAGTTTATAGTTTGATTATGTTGAATATTTTTCTAATTTTTTATTTGTAATTTTTTCGAATTGGTATTTTTCATAAAATTTAGAAATAACTTTTTTCTACACCCGTATTATAATAATGCACTTATATGCCCATAATCCGTTTCATAATGATACCCATTATGATACAGATTTTTCATTACGATACAGATTTTTAATCAATAGAAACCTACAATTTTTCAATCAAGCATGCTGTTTGACGTTTGTCCTAGGTTCCTATGTAATTATTTTAGTTGTCAAAACGTATTAAATTTTCGTAGGTAGCTAAACTTCGATAATTATAATATTAAAATGTCTGATATTAGCGATATAGAAGACTCCTCCACACATATCGGAGAAAGCAGAAAATACAGTACAAAATATTTTACCGCAAAAATCTAGGGAAATACCAATACCTGAAGTAATACCATTAATTACAATTTTGTAGAATTTTTTATAGAAATACGAGTAATTACTGTTATTGTGTTCAATACCAATATAAATATAATATTTATAGGTCTTGATTATTTATCGGGTGTAGAAAAAATAGCGTATGCAACTCTCATGTAATGGTTATTAAAACACTCGCATAAACCATACGAAATCGCCTTTGGCTCGTTTCGTATCCCGGTTAATGCTCGTGTATTAATAACCATCATTACATGATCGTTGCATAATATACTATTATATTGAAACTATTGTTAAGAATTCAACACAAAATTCACTATTTTTTAACAGTTTAGATCTCTACAATGTGCTTTCAGAGAAAATTAAATCTGCAACTACATTTAAAATTCAAGTCACTAATTTCTCCAGAAACAGTAACAAACTTTAGGGTTAGTTTTAATTCAATTTGTATTATATATGTTTCGACTTATACAGGGTGTTAGTCTATTCGACCAATAATGCTATACTTACTCCAGAGAACTTTCATTAATTGAATAATTGTGATATAGGATCAAGAGCTCTTAAAGGGCTTATTTAAAAGGTGTTTTAAAAAAGTTTTAAATCAAAATAAAAATTTTGTTAAATATCAAATGCACGAACTATTAAAAAATTGACACATGTTTACTAGATTAGAATTTAGAAATATTGAGTAGTTACAAATTATAAGTACCTGCA